AGGAGAGCACAATGCACTGAGTGATTAAAGCAGGATGGATTTCTCTGGGGACATTTCCCTCCGAGCTGTGGCTTTTTCCCCATCCCTCTGCCCCTCCTCACCTGGGAACAGGGGTTGATTATCTGGGAGACGTGATGTCATTTCTCTCTTCTCGCCTTGCAGGTGTTCAGAACATTTGGGAAATACCATATCATTCCTCTCTTCCCACAGGTGTTCACAAGATACGGGAAATGCTACATGTTTAACTCAGGAGAAGAAGGGCGGCCTCTCCTCACCACAGTGAAGGGTGGGACAGGCAACGGACTGGAAATCATGCTGGACATCCAGCAGGATGAATATTTGCCAATCTGGGGAGAAACAGGTAAGGCCTTCCCCATCCCATCCCACCCAGTGTCTAAACCAGCTCTTGAAAGCAAGAGGAGCTCAGCCTGTACAGAAATGAGTTGCTTTTCTTCTTGGTGTTTGTGGCTGCCAGTTGGGACCAGCATTTCTGTATTTCAGCTCATCTGCCGGTGCTGGACTTGGGTGTCCTGGCACCAAAGTTTGGGGTGCCAAACAGGAGTGCCATCGGCTGTCCTGGGACAAGGATGGGCGTTTTGGGGTGGCAGGAGGTGTGGTGTCTCCTCCAGAGGCTCCAGCACGTCCCTCTTCCTTAGAAAAGCAATTTTTGGAGGCCAAGTTCGAGGTGGACCTCCAGCTGCTCTTTTTGTTTTCCCCTTCCTTGGAATTTGGGAACATTTGTTGCCCTGATAGTTGTCTTGGCTGGTGCAGTTTCTCATGGAGCCACGTTGACATTTGAAACAAACAAACAAACAAACAAAAATTGGAAAAATTGCCAGCCACTGTTTGCCTAGCAAGCTCGAGGCAGGGCTTTGTGGTGAGAGTTGCTCAGAGGGAGTTTGTGTTTATTTTTGGCAGCGGGAAAAGGAGAGGGGTAAATATCACTTCAGGTCTTGTGTCACCATTGCTCTGTCACCCTGGACAGATGAGGCCCCTCAAGCACCTTTCAAACTCCAGCTCAGCAGCAGAGAGGTGGCAGGAGTCATTCAAAACTTCAAAATTTCTATGTGTGGTGTTTGACTGTTGCAGTTCAAGCAGCTTGCCGTGCTCCTGTCGCTCAGTTCAGGTTGCTCAGGCTTTCAGAGCAGGAGCTTTGTCTTCCCAGTTCGTAGCTCGTGCTCAGAGTCAGCCTGAGCCTGGCCCAGGGTGAGGAAATATTGGAATGATCATTTCTGGTGCCTTGGTTTTGAAGCCTTGTCCTTTTACAGGCAAAACAGGTTCACAGTGCAGAGGGGGGAGATGAGGAACATCTACCTCGTTGGGTTCTCATGGAATCACAAACTGGTTTGAGTTGGAAGGGACTTCACAGACCATCCATTTCCACTCCCTGCCGTGGGCAGGGACACCTTCCACCAGCCCAGATGGCTCCAACCTGGCCTTGGACACTTCCAGGGATCCAGGGGCAGCCACAGCTTCTCTGGGCAACCTGTGCCAGGGCCTGCCCACCCTCCCAGGGGTAACGGAGAAAAAAATGACTCACTGGGAATTAAAAAACTCAACTCCTTCCACCCTGGAGGTTCCCCAGGGCTGGACCTGCCCGTGGCCACCTGCCTTTGGCACTGCAGCACCAAGATCCCACCCCACATCCACCTTCATCCCCCTCCCCAGCCAGGGCTGGAGTTCCCTCCTGAGAGCTCTGTGCCCTTGGCAAAGCCTCTCCTGAGAAAGCCAAGTTTGGGCAGTCCCAGTGGCAGCAGCTGAGGAGGTTTAATTCCATACACACTCACATTATTATGCAAATATTTGGAAATAATCAACTCCTTCACTTACCTACTTAAGAGCTGAGTTAAGTGTTTCCATGGGAACAGCAACTATTAACCACTGTAGTTAATATTTTGGATTCTGGTGGTGTCCAGAGAGCTCCATGAAGATTGAAGACATCTTGTACGAGGGAGATGAAAAGTCTTTTGTTGAAAGGCAAAGATTAATGTTTTACAGGCTTCAAAGTCAAGTACCAGCTCCACCTGGGCCTGCAAGAACGTGGCCAAGTTTCCTTGTAACGAGTCCAAGAGCTTCTCCCACCCCATTTAACCAGTCAAGGTTTCTGTAGTTTTGCCTGTAAAATTTCATATTTCATCCTCAGCTCAGTCAAAGTGTAATATGTTTGAGAATAGCAGTGCTGAGGTCATGGAGGGGACAGGACATCAGCAGGGGCACCTCAAAAATCAACAGAGGACCTTTTTTTTCCCTTCCACGTGAGCTCAGAAGCCAAGCCTGGACTGTGGATGGTCTTCAAGGTTCCTTCCACCCCAAAGCATTCCATGATTATAAAGCCTGACCTGCTCCAGTCACTCCTCACCTTTTAAGTCTTTAGATGTTTTACCTGCTGGTTTTTTTTTTTTTTTCTTTTCTGAAATTGTTCTTTGCAGTGCAAATAAGAAGGAAAGAAGGAAAATATTGGTTTGGAGCTTGGGATGGGGCTGCTCCCAGGGCTGCTGCCACTCTGGCACATGGTTTGTAATGCAAGAGGAGATTTAATTAGCACTGACTGGGCAAACAGAATGAAGTGGATTGTCATCCTAGAAAGTCCTTAACTGGGTATCCGTTGATGTCTTGGGAAGCTGAGATATCTTGTCTGACAAATCGCTTGCAAGAGGAAAATATTCCTTTTTTTCCTGGAGCGTCTTCACGTGCAAAGCCGTGGCTGGAACATGTGAGATGTCTGGGCAGCCTGAAATTTTGGAGGAGCCAGGGCACACAGTCTGGATTTCCAAGTGCAAAGGAAAGGGGAATTTGGCTGCGTGCGGATGGCAGGGCAGCCTTGCCATGCTTGGGTGTGCAAAAATATTGTGTCAGGACTGTCAAAATCGTGAGGGGTGGAGGGGGAAAAAAAAAAAAAAAAGAAAAAGTGATGATGCAAAGGAAAAGAGAGAGAAATAAATCTGCATCTTCGGGGATTTTGCACTCCTAGAACTGAAATTTTCTCGCATTTTATTTTAACCGTGAGCTTCCCAGACGTGGAGGGAGCTGGGGAAATAATTGTGGCTGAAATCTTCACTTTTGGGCTTTGAAGAAAAGCTTAGATATTCCTGGAATAAAACCTGACCTATTCCAGAGGGAAATCTTGGAAGTGTCCAAGGCCAGGTTGGATGGGGCTTGGAGCAACCTGGGTTAGTGGAAGGTGTCCCTGCCCAGGGAGCTGTGGGGCTGCTGAGGGTGTTTTATTGCACTTGGGAGGAAAAGAGGCAGAAATGCAATCAAATACAGTAAAAAAAACCTGTAATTTATATCAGGGACTATTTGATTGGAAAGGGAAGACACTTCTGGGTAATCTTTTTGGAGTGGCCCAAGGAATTATCCAGTGACCTGGTACAGGAGCCCAGTAAATTGGAAATCACTGGGCTAACAGGGCTGGAAATAAGAAATAAAGTGAAGGTTCTGTGCTTGTTTCAGGAATTGTTGGATAAAGGTGAACGTTTTATAGCAATTAATCAAGGGACACAATGAATTAAAAAAAGGGGGGGGGGGGAGAAACATGCTGTAAAATGGCCATAAGGAGAAGCATGAAATCCATAAAGCTGGAGCTCCAATCCACTTAGATGACAATCCCAGGGTATTATGGACTGCTGTTATTTATCTCAACAAAAACACAGGCTGTGAGTGTTTTGAGGGAGGTCCCAAACCCATTTCCTTCACACCCAACCCACTTAATCATAAAGTCATTGACTTTTTGGGTTTGAAGGGGCCTTAAAAATCATCCAGTGCCACCCCCTGCCACGGGCAGGGACACCTTCCACTAGCCCAGGCTGCTCCAAATTTATCTAGCCTGGCCTTGGATACTTCCAGGGATCCAGGGGCAGCCACAGCTTCTCTGATCAGCTCCCCTTGGGATGTTTGGAGAGCAGGGATGTCCCTGGGACAAGTCTTGCTTTGCCTCACTGACCCACAGCTTGGCTGGGTGGTATTTTAGAGGAGGTTTCTCTGGTGACCATTTCTTGGTGAAGAAAAAGCCCCCAGGGCTGTGCTGATGGATCCCCCTGCCTGCCTGGGCTCTGGGGATCTGTAATGCAGCACCCTCAGGACCTGCCCAAAAGTTTGGGACGCTCCAGGCATCCAGTTCAGAGGGATTTGCAGCACAAATCAGCCACAATCCCTCCTTCCCAACCACCAACCTTTGTCCTGGGACTGGGCTGTTCCTCCTCCTTACTCCCCAAAGCCCTGATGATTTTTGGGATCCTGCAGAGGGTTTGGAGAAGGCCTGGGTGACCCCAGGCAAGGTGCCTGGAGGCCAAAGCTGCCAGCCCTGAAGACTCATCCCATAGGATTTGGGAGCATTGCTGTGGTTTCTTTGACTGATGGGTTTTATTTTTTTCCCCCCTGCCCCTCCGGGATTTCGTGCCAGGCAAAACAGAGCTGGAGCTGTTCCTTCTGCATCCAGCCTCTCCCTGCAAGGAGACACAGCTGATGTAGCTCAGGGGTCAGATTTCCCCCCCTTCCCCTTTCCTCAAAGCCCCCTCAGCCCCAGCAGTTGCTGTCCAGCTGTGCATTAATGAGCCCAACCCCTGGAGCAGTTGGTTTTCCAGCTGTGGGGAGGCACAAACACTCACTGCCAGTGGCTTCTGCATTTTAATAGGGTTGGGGGTGGCTCTTCACCAATCCAGGGCTTCTTTTTGCTTGCAAAAAGATCTGAAGGGAAGTGGAGAAGCAGCCTGGGCTCCCCCCAGGTCGTGGCTGAGCTCCTGGTGTGATGCCACAGCGGGGTGTTTTGGATTTACAGCCCAGGGAATCATCTGCAGGTGTTCACCAGAGTTTGGGAAAAAAAGGGGAAAAAAAGACACAGGTTTTGTGCCTCTGCTTCTTTCCTAGCTTGTGGGATAATTATAATGAATATAAAACTCACCTGTAAATATCAGATGAGTAGGACATGGCCTGGGAATGGAAGAATGATGGAGAGCAGCAGAAAAGGTGGGCTGTGGCAATGGATTCCCCATCCACACGTCCATGCAGAGCCCTGAGCACGTTTCCAGGCAGGAACACGCTCCCAAAAAGTCTGTGTGCTCTGTGCTGACTCCAGGGGCTTCTCAGAGCTGCTGCAATTTCCATCCCATTCCCAGGGGGGTGGTGGGAGCAGGGCCCTCCTGCTGCTGCCACAGCTGCCTGGGGGCAGCTTTCTCTGCAGATGAAAGCCTTGTTTGCCTTGGAAGGGCTGGTTCTTAATTTCATGATCAATTAAGATATAAAAGGGAAAGGGGAAAAAAAAAAAAAAACAACCAGAAGGAAAGCAAGGCAAGGTGTCTGTGAGAGAGTAACTGGCTTTTTCCAGCTCTTTTTGAGCCCAGAGCGTTTCCCAGCTGATTAACA